GCGGGGCAGCCCATTAGTGATTAAAATTTGCTTGCATGTTTTAGGAATTGGGCTTGGTTTAAATACATAGAACACGACCCAGAGTTGAATTTCTTTTAGTTTTTCTCTTATTTACTTATTCTCGTTTTGAGCATGTTAGGCCGACCACATTGGGTAGGCAAGCTTAGGACTTCTGATAATTGCGAGGCGAGAGGTCGTTTCCCTTAGTTAAATTTATCCAGGGAATGTCCCGAAGGATTTGCATATATTTTATTCAGGGGTATGCCTCAAAGTGAATGTAAATGGAGGCCAAAAGTAGAAACTTATAGTATTTTTATTTTATTTTAATTTTTCCTTTTCTTTTATTTAGGTGGGGATGACCTCGAACCTCTTGTGTGTTTATTTTCCTTTTTTTTGTGTTTTCTACCTCAATTGAATATTTTAAAAGCCGACTAGATCAAGTACGCAACCATACTAGTTACGGGACTTGGGGAGTGCCTAACACCTACTTCCCGAGCCAAATGAGCCCCCTTACCCGAATCTCTGGTGCAGACTTAGTTTTGGAGTCTTAAGTGTTTTGAAAGGAAAAATTATTTTTAGAAAAAAAAACGGTGATCTGACTCACCGAAATCAAATGTCAGGTGGCGACTCTGAGTTATTCCTTCTGATGACATTTTGTCACTTTTTAATTATAAATCCCTTTTCAAGCTTTACTAAATCTTTTTATTAATTTAAGAGGGTTTAGTGAGGTTTGGTAAAAAAAAGGAGTGTGACATCTCTGGCGACTCTGCTGGGGAGTTGCAGGTTCGAGCTAGTACTTGATCTTGTTGGCTTTTTAGGATTTTCGGTTGAGGTTTTTATGTGTTTTGTTTGCTTCATTTGATTTTTATTTTGTTTATGTCGTTTTATTTGCTAGTTGCTTATTTGTTTATATTTTTTCCCTTATGTGTTACTGCTTTATAAATTGTCATCATTTGCATAACCCCGGGTCTTCTTTCTGCAACCAGTCTTCCGAAGTACGTTTGAGCGTACACAACCTTTTTGTAAGTCACCCGTGTCTTTAATGGGGTGGCGTGGGAGCGTGGAGTGGGCGGACAGCTAGAGCAGCCGCCATCGACCACGTGCCGCCCCGAATTGCCTTGTCTAGTGAACCCCAACCGTAGGTCAGCCTTTAGGTCATAATTATGTGAATCATATCATTCAAACCTAGCAGGGTTCGGTCCCAGGCACCGTGTCCCGTGGTAGGAGGCCTACCCAAACTATGTCAAAATGGGCTTATGGCCCAAAAAGACATTTAATCATCCCTATGTGCTACATGTTGCATCTCTTTAGGGGTAAAAGGGCCATTTGACGGACCAAGGATATTTGAGGGTGAAATATAAAATGAAGTAGGTGATTTTACACTTTCCCATTATTTTCTAAAAATGAAAATGAAAATCCAAAATGATTTTACACTTTCCCCATTATTTTCCAAAAAATGAAATAGAGAATCCAAAAAAAAGATTTTACACTTTTCCATTATTTTCCAAAAAAAAAAAATTCAAAAAAAAGGAGAAAAAGAAAATCCAAAAAGATTTTACATCTTTTATCATTTTCCAAAAAATTCAAAAAAAAGGGAGAAAAAGATTTTACATTTTTCACCATTTCTCAAAAGGACAAAAAATGAATTTCCCAAATTAGTTGCATTTTTTTAAGCTTTCCTCCATGTCTGATCTTCCCGAACTACGTGAACCTGATTCTCGTCTTTCGGGACGGGATACGTAGGCAACCCACATAGGGTCCGGTCTTCCTAGTATTTTAGGTTCTTGACTTTGCGGGGTCTTAGCCATATCTTGCATTTCTAGCCACTTTCGGCCACATCGGCCATTCTTGCAAATTTGGGTCATTTGCGCAAAGATGGTTCAATAACCGATGTCTTAGGATCTTGAGTCCACAACCAGGTGTCATATTATTTTAAGGTCCGTCCTTTTCAAGTTTGCATCTTTAGCCACTTTTGGCCATATCGGTCATTTATGCAAAATGGGTCATTTCTGCAAATTAATTTTTTGGCCATGATTATTAAGAGTTAGAATTCATATAAGCTTTAGTGAGGTATTCCCATGTCTTTGAGGTCACCTTTCTTGAGTTTGCATTTTTAGCCACTGTTAGCCCTTTAGGACATTTTGCAGAAATAGCCCAACCGTCTCCTAGGCATTGTCGTGGTGTCACATAATGTCTTGATTCATTAACCATGTTTTTCCCATTCAGGTATGGATCCACTCACCAATGATAGAGTATCAATGGTGGTCAAAGTCCCAAGAAGGCTAGTAAAATGGTGGAACATGTTCACATTACTGGAGCAACATGATTTGATGGGTAAATTAGGGGCTTTTATTTCTTTGATGGACATCACTCTCCGTCCCGACCTTGTAGAAGCAATGTTGAAATTTTGGGACCCACAGGGAATGTTATTCAAGTTTGGGAATCTTGAGATGATACCCACCTTAGCTGAGATAGCCGGGTTAACTCGTCTGCCATATCTAGACAAGGATTTGATTTACACAAGGGCTCATTCAAGCACCAAGTTCCTTAGATCACAGGGATGGATTTTGAAACTAACATGGGATGTCTAGATCAATCTTGGGTACCTTTGGACTTTTTATTTGAGAGGTTAGCTCGTCCTACGGGGTATGAGACCTTCGTAGATGAGTTTTCCATATCATATGATTCTTCGAAGAAGAGGCGTCCGATGGTCTTCGCTATTGCATTGTTAGGTCTCCTGGTATTTCCTTTGAAGGGTAGACATATTAGCACGCGTCTGGGGTCAATAGCCTTTGCACTCTTCCATGATAAACATAGTAGTAAGGTCACCGTGGTTCCGACAATTTTGGCAGAGATCTATCGTGCTTTGACCAGGATTCGAGAAGGTGAGAGGTTCTTTGAGGGAAGCAACTTATTGCTACAGCTGCGGATGATGGAACACTTACATCCCGCCACCATGTTTGAAAAAGATGTGATTGACTGTTGTCTGAGAGATCAAGTGAAGTGCATCGAGCATAGGATGACGTTCGATAAGTTTGCCTTACCACTCGGAGTTCAGGATTGGGTTGATTATTTAGGATCCTTGACTGAAGAGAAGATTTTGTGGTCATACCTATGGATTGATTTGGACGTGATCTTAGCAGGATCTCGCGTGAAAGACTTCTTGGTACTGATTGGACTTTGGTGTACTAGACCATATACCCCTGCTAGAGTGATGCGTCAGTTAGGGAGGCGGCAAGAAGTCCCCTACATTCCTGATTCTCGTGACTTCATTAGGGAATTTGACACTATGCCGCATAGGAAGGTCGACATCCAGACCTATTGGCGTCATGCAATGAAGATGGGTAGGGATACTTTAGCTGCTGACCCATATTCACCTGGGTATACCCATAAGTACTTCATATGGCTACAGTCTACTCAGCGAGGGGGGTGGGGAGTAGCAGGCCATTGCCACGACGTGTTAGAGGAGTATTTGACGAGGAGGCCACCTCACGGATATTGCTTAGATAGTTGATGGATCGATTTACCCAGGAAGAGGAGGCCCATGCAGCAGAAAGGGTTGGGGTTCGAGCTACACTTCAGTTACTGAGATCACAGTTGGCAGGGTTAGTAGAGAACATGGGACAACATCGTGAGTACCTTACTAGAGTCAGCCTTCCAGATGCAGGCGCGCATTCCAGGATTCTCATTCCTAGCTTCGAGGTGTCCTTGCAGGGTATAATATAGAGCTTAGATTTGACAGGATTGACGGGGCCATCCGGATCTTCATCGGACCCGTCCCAGCCAGGACCGTCGCATTCAGGAGCAGTTTGAGGAGTCATTCTATTTAGATGTTTTGAGATTGTCTTATGTTGTCCTTTACTTTCGTGTCTTGTCTAGGAGTAATGAGTCCTTTAGGTAGTGTCAGAGTCTGTCATAGTGTAGTCGAGTCTGTCATGTTTCTCATTATCGTACTTCCCATTGTATTTTAATATCGAAACGTTTTTAAATGAAAAATCCCAAAAAACGATAAGAGGTCTTGGAAAAGAGAAGAGAAGGAAGATCGAAATGAGCAAATTGGGATGATGCCATATGACCCTGCGACCCTCAAAGCCATTTTAGAACTGTTAATTATTGCTAGGTGCATTGCACGTAATGTGATATTATCATATGATAAATGCCCTAACGCTAACATGGTGGTTTTGTGTTGTTGTCCTATGTTATCTTTATTTAAATTAAGGAAGGTGGTTAGTTTGTTGGCATCCTGGCAAGTCATCCATACAACACCCGATCAAAGTGTCAAACAGTCATGACTAGCAAGGAAGCAGACACTGGAGTTGTAGACCCGCCAAGGGAGATAGTTGAGTCGGAATCGGAACTGCAAGAGGAGGTCCAAAAGTTGAAGCATCAGATGGCGGAAATGTATCAGGCCTGGATTAAGGGACACCCTCCACCCTCGTTACCCACCAACTACACAGAAAAACCTGCTTCCATTCCACCACTCTCTCAATCCCAGATGCCCAATACCATTGATCTTTCCCCACAACAAGCACCCGACTTTACCCCTTACTACAACTACCCCGACACTTCAGCCCAAACTATTTATGCTCCGCCAGCCAAAATAATCTCGTACCTTGCTCCGACATCTGCTCCTATTTTTGTACCCCCTCCACAAGCTACCCTCCACCGATCCTCTAGTAAGCCCGCATTCCCCGCTCCAAATGCCCACTACTATGCACTGGATCCCACCTTCAAAGTCCCAGATCCTTACTCTTACACTCTCCAATTTGAGCCTCATGTTAAAACTGACAAACCACCCAAGAACGCAGAGCAAGAAGAGATGTTTATGAAGGTACAAAGTCTGAAGCAATCATTGAGAAATATGCAAGGGTTGGGAAACCAGGTGAGTGTGGCCTATAAGGATTTGTGTTTGTTCCCCGATGTCCAACTGCCTGCCGGGTTCAAGATGCCCAAGTTTGACTTGTATGACGGCCATGGGGATCCTGTAGCTCATCTGAGGGGTTATTGCAGTAAAATGAGAGGCACCGGGGGAAAAGACGAATTACTAATGGCATACTTCAGCCAAAGTCTGAGCGGAGCAGCTTTAGAATAGTACACCCGCCAGGACGCTACAGGTGGTACACCTGGGATGATATGGCTCAGGCCTTCGCCCGACACTTTCAGTACAATATAGACATTGTTCCAGACCGCCTATCTTTGACCAAGGTGGAAAAGAAACCAGTGAAAACTTTAGAGAATATGGGTTCCGATGGAAGGAGCAAGCTGCATGAGTTAATCTTCTGATGGAAGAAGACGAGATGGTTAAATACTTTCTTCAAGCCCTGGAGCCCACTTACTATGGCCACTTGATCTCAGCCATTGGTAAGTCTTTCAATGACGTGGTGAAGATGGGAGAAATGGTGGAAGAGGGGCTCAAGTCGAGTAAGATCTTGAGCTATTCTGCTATAAAAGCAACCACCCAGGCAATCCAGAGTGGTACCGGAAGTTTGCTAGGCAAGAAAAAGAAGGAAGATATCGCTATGGTTGTCTCCGGATCATGGCATGGCCAGAGGGGTTCACCTCATAAATACACCCATCCTTGACCCCGACCTCAAACCTGCGCCCAAGCTCCATATAATCCATCTCAGCATTACTTTTCCCCGCAAAACCCCCAATACTCAGCCAGGCCATCCCAATACCTTGTTCACCATGCACAGTCATATGCTCAACCCCCTCCTTACCCACAATGGCATGCTCCAGCTCCGCAGAATATATACCCAACTCCACAAAATACCTATCCACCCCTACAACCCTATCAAAACCCCACTGGTTCAAATTTTCGGTCAAGGCCAGAGTATATAAGAGAGAGGTAACATCAGAAACAAACTTTTACCCCGCTTGGAGAATCCTATGCTAATCTGTTTTAAAGGTTAAGGCAGTTGGATGTCTTGAGGCCGATTGAGTCAAAGATACCAAATCCCCCTCCAAAGAACCTCGCTTATTCCCTAAGATGCGCCTATTGTTCTGATGCTCCAGGGCATGACATAGAGAAGTGTTGTCATTTGAAACGGGCAATCCAGGAGCTCATTGATACAAACCAAATTGTAGTCCAAAGCCCAGACGCACCAAACATCAACCAAAACCCTTTGCCAGCCCATGCAGAGACGCACATGATTGAAATAGTTCACAAGGATGGGGAGCCCAAGAAGTCTTCTAAGTCCGTCATGATGATTCGGTCCAGTGAAAGCAATTTGGTTAAAGCTCCAGACTCTACCAAAGCAATGCCCTTGACAGTTGAAGGGGTGACAGAAAAGACGAGATCACTCAATTCGAAACCACCAGTGTTGGTCGTGAAAGGGCTGTCGAAAGATATCAGGGCAAGTCTGGAAAGTTCAAAAGTGGTAGTACCAGGGATCCGAAGTAAGCCTGTCATAGTTGTGAAGGGGGCTCTTATTACCCCTATCATCATAAAACCAGAAAACCAGCTGCTAGTGGTGGATGCCAAGGCTGTTTCGTGGAATTATAAACAAGTGATAGTGACATACAAAGGAAAAGAAATAGAGGAAGAAGTTAATGAAACTGGAGGATTGAATCGTTCTGGGTGATGTTTCACCCCAGAAGAATTAAGGAAAGCCAAGCCATTCAAGGATAGCCAAATGCCAGTAAAGAACTCGGTCATCGAGGAAGAGGCTGAGGAGTTCCTGAAAAAGATGAAAGTGCAGGATTAGTCCATCGTGGAGCAGTTAAGAAAAACACCAGCTCAGATTTCTCTTTTGTCTTTGCTGATACATTCAGATGAACACCGCAGGATCTTGATGAAAATTTTGAATGAGGCACATGTTCCTGATAAGATCACAGTGAATCATTTGGAAAAGATAGCTAGCAAGATCTTTGAAGTAAACAGGATCACTTTCTCAGATGATGAACTTCCTATGGAGGGTACAGAACACAACCAAGCTCTTTATCTCACGGTGAAGTGCGAAGATTCTGTTATCTCAAGGGTTTTGGTTGACAATGGCTCTAGTGCGAATATTTGTCCCTTGTCTACTTTGCAAAAATTGAAGATTGACACCGAAAGAATCCACTTGAACACCGTGTGTGTTCGAGGCTTTGATGGGGGAGGTAAAGATTCTGTTGGAGATATAATGCTTGAATTATCGATAGGGCAGTTGAGTTCACCATGGAATTCAAAGTGTTAGATGTGGTTGTTTCCTATAATCTATTGTTGGGCCTCCCTAGATACATGCTGCTAAGGCAGTCCCGTCTTCTCTGCACCAAATGGTAAAATTTGAATGGGACAGGCAAGAAATAGTTGTGCACGGTGACGAGGAATTGTCAGCTTGTAATGATACAATTGTTCCGTTCATCGAGGCTGAAGATGATAAGGGACCTTGGGTCTATCAGACTTTCAAAACAGTGTCTGTTGAGAAAATTCCTGAAGGAAAATACATTCCGGTCCCTAAGCTATGCTCCGCGCCTGTCATGGTCACGAATGAAGTGTTGAAGAATGGTTTTGTGCTGGGCAAGGGTTTGGGCTCATCTCTGTAGGGTATTGTGCATCCAATGCATCCCAGTGGGAATCCTGGTATGTTTGGCTTGGGATTCATGCCCACAGAGAAGGACGTGAAAAGGGTTAAAATTTTGAAATAGAAGGTATGGTCGCTCCCCAAGCCCGTCCCACACATCTCTAAATCTTTTGTCAAGCTAGGGGCCGAAAAACCTCCAACCTCCTCAATCCCAAAACCTGTGGTCGATGTTGATGAAGAGCTGATCAAGAGGTTCCAAAGTCTGTTTGAAGAGGTCAATATGGTAGAAGTTGGTGAAGGCTCTAGTAAAGCAGATGTGCAGCTCGTTGGCCCAAACATGAAGCTTAGCAATTGGGAAGCTACTTCTCTCCTCACCAGGAAGGAGTTTTGGTAGTTTGCTTTGTTTTCCTTTCTGTTATCTGGGTTATTCCAGGGTTGTAATCCAGATTTTTAGTTTTTGCTTATTTTGATGTTAAAACCCTTCTATCCTTTTATTTTCAATGAAATGCAATTTTTCGTTTTCCGTTATTCTTAATAGTGTTTTATTTTGCTCTTTTTCTTTTGTACAGTTCTTTTTATGCTGGTTGCAATGATGTGACATGCATGAAGAATTTTTAGCCGAGTCTTAACAGCCAATATAATTCTGAAATAACAATCCAAGAAGTAGAATATGATGATGAAATAGAATATGGTGAAGAAACAGCATTTGAGGAAATCAGTAAAGAGCTAAAACAATTTGAAGAAAAACCAAAGTCTAGTTTGAGTGAAACTGAAGCAATCAATTTAGGGGATCATGATGATGTTAGGGAAACCAAGATAAGTGTGCATTTAGAACCGCAAGTTAAAGAGGAAATAATTAAAACACTGTTTGAGTACAAAGATGTCTTTGCATGGTCATATGACGATATGCCGGGCCTGAGCACTAATCTGGTAGTTCATAAATTGTCAACTAATCCAGCATTCCCTTCTGTCAAGCAAAAGTTGCAAAAGTTCAAGACTGATATGAGTGTGAAGATCAAAGAAGAAATCACAAAGCAACTTACTGCAAAGGTCATTCGGGTCACGAGATATCCCACTTGGTTAGCTAATATTGTGCCAGTACCAAAGAAGGATGGTAAGACCAGGGTATATGTTGATTACCGTGCTCTTAATAAAACAAGCCCAAAGGATGATTTTCCATTGCCGAACATTCACATTCTGATTGATAATTGTGCCAAGCATGAGATTGGGTCTTTTGTGGACTGTTACACGGGATATCACCAGATCTTGATAGATGAGGAAGATGCAGAAAACACAGCATTCACCATGCCATGGGGAACATACTGTTATCGGGTAATGCCATTTGGTTTGAAAAATGTTGGGGCAACTTACATGAGGGTGATGACCACCATATTTCATGACATGATACATAGGGAGATCGAGGTTTATGTAGATAATGTGATTATAAACTCAAAGAAGCAGTCTGACCATGTCAAGGACCTGAGGAAGTTTTTACAAAGGCTCCACAGGTACAACCTCAAGCTCAATCCAGCAAAATGTGCATTTGGTGTCCCGTCTGGGAAACTGCTAGGATTCATGGTCAATCTATGCGGTATTGAGTTGGACCTATCGAAGATTAAAACCATTCAAGAGTTACCGCTGCCAAAAAAC